TTTATTGCGGAAAATTTTTCATTTTTTCTTTTTATTATCTGGAGATTTTCCAAGATCATAAGCAAATTGCTCACAAAATTCACCAATTTGGTGTTTTTCAGAGAGCTTTTGCTTTTTGAGTTGATTTCTAAGCTTTATGTCATTACATAAACTTAATCCTTCAATAAGATCTGAATAATTTATATTTATCCCATCATTTTTCTGTCTTAAGGATTGTCTAACTTTCTCAGAAAAGAAATGAGGTAATCCATCAATAAATTTTGCTTTCCAGTGTAAAGAATTGGGATTGTTTAATTGATAAACTCTTGAAAGAAAAGTATCCTTATACCATCTAAAGTGGGTGAGAGAAGGACACCTAAGGTTTTGGAGAAGTGTCTGGATTTTTTCTCCAATGTGGACATTGGTTCCTACAAAATATTGTAAGATGGAGAGACACAGTGTATACACTGCATCTTCTTCTCCTGTGGTGGTTGTAGCCACAATAGTGCTCATACTAGTTCTTGGTTCGCTCTTAATGATTTTTTTATGATTAAGAATCTCTAAGTTGGCCAACAAATCCTGTTGTTATAAAGGATACTATTGAAGCATCGGAACTTCTATGTTGCTTGCAAACAGTAGAGTACATGATCATTCTATGGATAGTATCTATAATTTATTTGTCATTAAGACCATCAACATTCCATTCATAAATGGCTTTTCCTGAATAAGAATTCTGGAAAGGTTCTGATTCCTCAAAAAGCAAATCTTACGGTGAGGGACGCTTGTAATAATACTTTTCTATAGGCCTTGGGGAATAAACAGGATTTATACTATTAGTATTATTAATACTATTAGTATTAATATCAAGGTTACTAATGTCTAAATTAGCAAACATATCAGCAAGCTGGTCAATATGGATGTCATTATTATCCTCAGAATAATCTTCATGGGACATGACAGTGATATTAAGTCCTTTTAGTTTTTGTTCTAAAATACGAACAAATTCTTCTCCGTTAGTTTCCATTTTAAATCCTTCTATGGAAACAGGAGGTTGCACTATAGGAACATCTGAAATAGTGGATGTGGATATTTGGTCTTTAGGTTTATTTATGTGGTCAATAATGATATCTTGATGCTCTATTTGTTTTTCTAAAAGATCTTTTATGGATAAGAGATCTTTTTCCATGGAGATAAATTGTTCTCCTAAGCAAACAAGGTAAGCATTGGTATAATTTTGAGACCTGATAACTGAATTTAATTCCTTAAGAGTAACTTGATTTTGTTCAACTCTTTGTAACTGAAGGCTAAGGTAAGGGGTAGCTTCAGTATTTTGACTCAAACTTATTGTTTGTTCAGGGGGAAAAGGAGATTCCATTATTTCTCCTCTAATGTTTTCCCAAGGTCTTTGTAACACAAGAATTTCTTCTTGCTTTTTATTTATGAAGTAATTAACAAACCATTTAACAAAAGGAACGAAATCTTGCTCAAGGTTCATTTGAGTGTAATACTCATCTTTAAATTGGGCTAATTCAGGTTTTGAAAATTTTTTAAAAAACCAATTTCTAAATTGAGAGTATCTCTCATGTCGAAACTCATCATTGATGAGTTGTCTCATCTTACTACCAGGGGAGTAATCTATCATTATAATTGGAAATCCATATCTGACTGAGTAGGTGATTCTACTCTTGGAGTATGAGGTTTTTGATAAATTCCATGGGGAACTCTATTTTCGCTTAGTCTTATATTCTCAACGAGACCTCTATTTCTTCTCTTATTTGAGAAGTAGAAGGTCTAGGTAATTGGCTAGGAGCTGTGTAAAATTCACTAACTGAGTGCCTAGCAGATAGGGACCTGGGTATTCTAGTTATTCTTTTTGAAGTGAAATTTATTTCTAAATCTCCTTCAATAGTCTGAATAATTTGGTCTATATCCCTATTAAGGATAGGTTCAGGATCTATTTCCTGGGGGAGAGACCATGTCTCTGGGAAGTTTATTTCATCCCATATTATTAACCTATTGGTTGCAACATTGGATGTTAGTAAATTTGTTTGAACCAAAGTAGTGGTTCCAGGAAATGATAAATGCTTTGCTTTAGGATTAAGCGTAGTAAGAACCTTATAGTAGATTCTATAGCATATTGCTATAATTTCACTTCCCGGTTTAAAATTATAACCATTAGTATGAACTGTTAATTGCATAGCATCTAATAAATGTTTATCAGATACAGATAGATTTAAATTAGGTGAGACATCAAAGTCCATGACACAGACTTGTCTCAACCATAGCAGCTAAAGATTGTTTGAAATCTTTACATCTACCATCTCTAACATAAGCCATTATGCTAGAATTTAAACCCAATAATGTTAAAGGTTTTAAAGCAATTTGAACCAATCCAATATGGATAAAATTATAATTTTTAAAAGGTTTCAAATCTTTTTTAGTTAACAGTTTTATTGTCTGAGTTTCTTTAGAAATTTGAATCGTTTGCTCTAAAGTTTTAACAGCAAAACGAGTAAAAACATCTATCTTACCAAATCTATAAATTTGAGTAGAAGGAACTGAGGGTATAACCCATCTGTTGAGTTTATCCATATTTTTTGGATATTCAATTAATTCTTCATTTTTTATTAAATTATTTTGATGATTATCATCATCAGAATCCATATGGCAATAGGCTAAGAATGTTGTGATTGGTTGATACGCAAAGTTAAATCTAAATAGATAACTTGGACTCATAACATAATTTTAGCTAAAACAACAACCAATTAAAAGTCATCTAAGAAAACAACAAATTGTCTAACTATCAACCCGAAGGGATAGAAGGATTTCTCCCAAATCAAAGATGTCAAAATGTTTTTAGCAAAAATTTTCTTTTTTGGAATCATGTATATTGATGATGAAGATATAAAGATAAATCCAAATGATGGATGGTCTATCAAAACTAGATACCTCGAATCAAGAGGATATCCAGGTCTTCATGGAAAATCTAGGCCCAACCTAGAAATTCTCCTGACTGTTACCGAATCGGTAACAATTACTCACCATTACCAAAGCAATAATCCTGAAAGTTTTATAAACTTCAGGAAATGTCACATTAACAAAATTTTGTTACCAAGAGAATGAGGTCTCAACCCAAATGCTGAAAAGGCAATAAGAATTGCGGAAGGAAAGTGTATTTACTTTAATTATTGGGACTATGTCCAGGCTTTCACTCAAGCCTTTTATTACCAAAATCCCAAGAACAAGCATTCTTGGTTTTTCTCTATTAATGAAGAGATGGTTAATAAACCCATACCAAATTGGTTTTATGAATGGTGGGCTAAATTTGGTCCATCTTTGGAAATTCTTCCTAAAGAAATTCTTAACTTATATAATCCATGGTGTGATAATAGTCCACTTATTGTAAAAAATTTATCTGATAATTTAATCACTGGACAATGTCCATTATTGTTCTTTATTAAATTTCAGATTCCATGGATATGGAGATGGACAATCACCATATCAAGAAACAAATTTAACATTCCCATTTTAGAAAGAAATTTCTTTTATAAATGGTGGAACAAGATGAGTGCAGAGGATGTCCAGAATAAAATTAAATTAATTGAAGAAGCAATAGCTGAAGACCAGAATAAAAAGGTCAAGGAACAAAGCTCCCAAGAAATGTCTATGGAAAACTTGAAGAACTTCTTCAAGAGAAAATATCCCAATGAATCAGAATACGAAATTATGGTCAGAATTTTGGATCATATGAAAAACCAATTCTTCTCTACTTTTCCATCAAAAGCATCAAAAGATGAGGATTCATCTATGAAGACAAGCTCTTCCATGGGATCAATGGATTCCCATAATTTTGAAGGTTTAGCAGGAGAAGGTCAAGCAGATGAAGCTACTGCAGAAGATTTCTGGGATGCAATGATTCAATCTTTGAAAGAAAAAAGAAAAGCAAAGAATTAATTTGTTATCTTGTCTAAATATAATGAAGTAAGAATCAATAGACAAAGGTTAAAGGACAAGAAATAATAGAAGAAGAATCTTTCCAAAAGCAAAAGGACAAGGGAATCTTATCTTGTCTTTAATAATTTCTAGGCATAATTGCATGCATTTTCTATCTTTTGTAAAATACAAGGGAATAAGAATCTTATCTTATCTTGTCTTTAATAATTTCTAGGCATAATTACATGCATTTTCTATCTTTTGTAAAAGACAAGGGAAAAAGAATCTTATCTTGTCTTAAATAATTTCTAGGCATGCATTTGATTTTTGTAGTTTCTTGTTAATTGTTGTGACGATGGGGCCCCAAGCGTACCCGACAATAATTATACAATTTACCGGCTATTGTAAATTTTAGTTACCGGCTTAAATAGTAAGCCTTTTCTTCCCTATATAAAGGGATTTAAGTTTCATTTGTAATCACACCTTGGAACACCTTTGAATAACAAGTTTGAGCTTTTTTGCAATATTGTCTCACAATCTTCTATACTCCTCTTTTCTTTACTAAAAATTCCCTTCCCCGGGAAAAAAAAGCTGAATGTTTAAGAAAACACTAAAAACACTTTGTAGTTTTTTAAAAACACTTTGAAAAGATTGATTGCTAGTTAATAATATGTTATGAGAAAAAGTTACCTACTTAGTTTTGTCTAAGCATAATCAACCTCTCACAACATAAATTTAGCCACTAATTTTCATGATAAATTAAGAAATATACCTTAGACTTGGCAAGTCCAGGTGATGATACCAAAATAGAAAATTTTTGCTAAAAACATTTTGACATCTTTAATTTGGGAGAAATCCTTCTATCCCTTCGGGTTGATAGTTAAACAATTTGTTGTTTGCTTAGATGACTTTTAATTGGTTGTTGTTTTAGCTAAAATTATGTTATGAGTCCAAGTTATCTATTTAGATTTAACTTTGCGTATCAACCAATCACAACATTCTTAGCCTATTGCCCTATGGATTCTGATGATGATAATCATCAAAATAATTTAATAAAAAATGAAGAATTAATTGAATATCCAAAAAATATGGATAAACTCAACAAATGGGTTATACCCTCAGTTCCTTCTAATCAAATTTATAGATTTACTAAGATAGATGTTTTTGCTCGTTTTGCTGTTAAAACTTTAGAGCAAACGATTCAAATTTCTAAAGAAACTCAGACAATAAAACTGTTAACTAAAAAAGATTTGAAACCTTTTAAAAATTATAATTTTATCCATATTGGATTGGTTCAAATTGCTTTAAAACCTTTAACATTATTGGGTTTAAATTCTAGCATAATGGCTTATGTTAGAGATGGTAGATGTAAAGATTTCAAACAATCTTTAGCTGCTATGGTTGAGACAAGTTTGTGTCATGGACCAGTTTACTTTGATGTCTCACCTAATTTAAATCTATCTTTATCTGATAAAAATTTATTAGATGCTATGCAATTAACAGTTCATACTAATGGTTATAATTTTAAACTGGGAAGTGAAATTATAGCAATATGCTATAGAATCTACTATAAGGTTCTTACTACGCTTAATCCTAAAGCAAAGCATTTATCATTTCCTGGAACCACTACTTTGGTTCAAACAAATTTACTAACATCCAATGTTGCAACCAATAGGTTAATAAAGTGGGATGAAATAAACTTCCCAGAGACATGGTCTCTCCCCCAGGAAATAGATCCTGAACCTATCCTTAATAGGGATATAGACCAAATTATTCAGACTATTGAAGGAGATTTAGAAATAAATTTCACTTCAAAAAGAATAACTAGAATACCCAGGTCCCTATCTGCTAGGCACTCAGTTAGTGAATTTTACACAGCTCCTAGCCAATTACCTAGACCTTCTACTTCTCAAATAAGAGAAGAAATAGAGGTCTCGTTGAGAATATAAGACTAAGCGAAAATAGAGTTCCCCATGGAATTTATCAAAAACCTCATACTCCAAGAGTAGAATCACCTACTCAGTCAGATATGGATTTCCAATTATAATGATAGATTACTCCCCTGGTAGTAAGATGAGACAACTCATCAATGATGAGTTTCGACATGAGAGATACTCTCAATTTAGAAATTGGTTTTTTAAAAAATTTTCAAAACCTGAATTAGCCCAATTTAAAGATGAGTATTACACTCAAATGAACCTTGAGCAAGATTTCGTTCCTTTTGTTAAATGGTTTGTTAATTACTTCATAAATAAAAATCAAGAAGAAATTCTTGTGTTACAAAGACCTTGGGAAAACATTAGAGGAGAAATAATGGAATCTCCTTTTCCCCCTGAACAAACAATAAGTTTGAGTCAAAATAATGAAGCTACCCCTTACCTTAGCCTTCAGTTACAAAGAGTTGAACAAAATCAAGTTACTCTTAAGGAATTAAATTCAGTTATCAGGTCTCAAAATTATACCAATGCTTACCTTGTTTGCTTAGGAGAACAATTTATCTCCATGGAAAAAGATCTCTTATCCATAAAAGATCTTTTAGAAAAACAAATAGAGCATCAAGATATCATTATTGACCACATAAATAAACCTAAAGACCAAATATCCACATCCACTATTTCAGATGTTCCTATAGTGCAACCTCCTGTTTCCATAGAAGGATTTAAAATGGAAACTAACGGAGAAGAATTTGTTCGTATTTTAGAACAAAAACTAAAAGGACTTAATATCACTGTCATGTCCCATTAAGATTATTCTGAGGATAATAATGACAGCCATATTGACCAGCTTGTTGATATGTTTGCTAATTTAGACATTAGTAACCTTGATATTAATACTAATAGTATTAATAATACTACTAGTATAAATCCTGTTTATTCCCCAAGGCCTATAGAAAAGTATTATTACAAGCGTCCCTCACCGCAAGATTTGCTTTTTGAGGAATCAGAACCTTTCCAGAATTCTTATTCAGGAAAAGCCATTTATGAATGGAATGTTGATGGTCTTAATGACAAACAAATTATAGATACTATCCATAGGATGATCATGTACTCTACTGTTTGCAAGCAACATGGAAATTCTGATGCTTCAATAGCATCCTTTATAACAACAGGATTTGTTGGCCAACTTAGAGGCTGGTGGGATCATTATCTCACTGAATCTCAAAAATTAGAGATTCTTAATCATAAAAAAATTGTGAAGAGCGAACCAAGAACTAGTACGAGCACTATTGTGGCTACAACCACCACAGGAGAAGAAGATGCAGTGTATACACTGTCTCTCTCCATCTTACAACATTTTGTAGGAACCAATGTCCCCATTAGAGAAAAAATCCAGACACTTCTCCAAAACCTTAGGTGTCCTTCACTCACCCACTTTAGATGGTATAAGGATACTTTTCTTTCAAGAGTTTATCAATTAAACAATCCCAATTCTTTGCACTGGAAAGCAAAATTTATTGATGGATTACCTCATTTCTTTTCTGAGAAAGTTAGACAATCCTTAAGACAGAAAAATGATGGGATAAATATAAATTATTCAGATCTTACTTATGGTCATATAATTAGCACTTGTGTTAATGAAGGATTAAATTTATGTAATGACATAAAGCTTAGAAATCAACTCAAAAAGCAAAAGCTCTCTGAAAAACACCAAATTGGTGAATTTTGTGAGCAATTTGCTTTTGATTTTGGAAAATCTCCAGATAATAAAAAGAAAAAAGGAAAAATTTTCCGCAATAAACCTTATAGGGATAAGCCAAAAAATTCTTATAAGAATAAGAAAAGGGGTCACTACAATAAGAGTGGACCTAAAGAAAAATCTTTTGACCCTAAAGGTAAAAGAAAAGCCAAAAAGCTTGACATAATATGTCATAAATGTGGCAAACCTGGCCATTATGCCAACCAATGTTGGACTAAAAAAGCTCTTAATGAGATAGAAGATGAACAATTATGTTCTCAATTAGAGAAAATTTTCCTTCTCAAATCTGATTCTGAAGAATACTCTTCTGAAGAAGATATTAATATGATTTATGAATCTTCTTCTGATTACTCATCTGAATCTTCTAACAATAATAATTGTCAATGTAATCAATTAGATTACTGGAAATCAATAGTGGATATGAATGGGTTAAATGTTTTAACCTCAGAACAGGATGGAGCTATAAAGGCTATAGAGTCCATTTCTGATAAAAATCTTAAAAGAAAAATGCTTGAGGTTCTAATCCAAGAAAACTCTAAAAGAGAATCTCCTATTATTACAGAAGCACCTTACCAATTAATTGAAGTTTTGTCTAGATTTAGACAGTCTAACATTCGTGAAACTCCTGTTTCTATTCTGGATTTAAATGGAGATATAAATCTCTTAAAAAATGAGATAGCTCAAATTAAAAAAGAAAACCATGGTTTATCTCAAAGGCTCACTTTTTTAGAGTCAAATAATTCAAGGGTTGAAGAAATAGCTTCAACTAGTAATCGTTCACCTAGTAATGATTTCCTTTCCCTCATTGATAGAGTGACCTCCCAAAAATGGTTTGTTAGAATAACTTTAGTGATTAATAGAAATTTCATATTATAAAATGAAGTTTCCCTTATTGATAGTGGCGCTGATTTAAACTGCCTTCAAGAGGGAATTATTCCCACTAAGTATTTTGATAAAACTACTAAATCTCTTACACAAGTTGGAGGAGATAAACTCACGGTTAATTATAAACTGTCTAATGTTATGTTTGTAACAAAGATATTTGTTTACCCACTCACTTTATTCTTGTGAAAAACTTAACTCATAGAATTATATTAGGAACTCCCTTTCTGCATAAAATTATGCCTCTAATTAATGTTGATCAAAAGGGAATTACCTCCATTATTAATAATAAAAGAATTACTTTTGAATTTATTACTGACCCTCATACTAGGATGATTAATGAAGTTAAAGATATTCTTCTTAAAAAAGAAAAACAAATTTGTTTTCTTAAAGAAGAAGTGGGTTTATTAAACATCACTTCTCAACTTAAAAATCCTGAAATTCAAAATCAAATTAAATTAATTGATCAACAGTTTAGAGAAGAAATATGCAATGATTTACCTAATGCCTTTTGGGATAGAAAGAAACATGTTATTTCCTTACCTTATCTTGATGACTTTAATGAAATTCAGATTCCCACTAATGCTAGGCCTGCTCAAATGAATCATGAGTATTTGGATTTATGCCAAAAAGAGATAGAATCTCTTTTGGAGAAAAAATTAATAAGAAAATCGAAATCTCCTTGGAGTTGCACATCCTTTTATGTCAATAATGTTGCAGAAAAGGAACGTGGAGTTCCTAGACTCGTTATTAATTACAAACCACTTAATAAAGTGTTAAAATGGATTAGATATCCTATTCCTAATAAAAAAGATCTTTTAGATAGATTAAACAATGCTTTAATCTTCTCTAAATTTGATATGAAATCTGGTTATTGGCAAATTCAGATTAATGAATCTGATAAGTATAAAACAACCTTTACTGTACCTTTTGGACATTATGAATGGAATGTCCTTCCTTTTGGCCTTAAAAATGCCCCTTCAGAATTTCAAAATATTATGAATGATATTTTTAATCCTTATACGGAATTTATAATTGTTTATATTGATGATGTTTTAGTTTTTTCAAAAACTATAGATCAACATATGAAACATTTGAAAATATTCAAAGGATTAATTAAGCATAATGTATTAGTAATATCTGGTCCTAAGATGAAACTTTTTCAAACAAAGGTTAGATTTTTAGGACTTGAAATTGACCAAGGAACTATAATTCCTATACAAAGAAGTATTGAATTTGCTTCTAAATTCCCTAATATTATTACAGATAAGAAACAATTACAAAGGTTTCTTGGTAGCCTTAATTACATAGCAGATTATTATGAAAATCTAGCTAAAGATACAACAATATTACATGTTAGGCTTAAAAAGAATCCTGACCCTTGAACTGAAAAACATTTTCAGGCAGTCCAAAGAATTAAAAATAAGGTGAAATGTTTGCCTTGTTTATCTCTTGCTAATCCTAAGTATTTCAAAATTGTTGAAACTGATGCTTCAGACTTAGGCTATGGAGGAATCCTTAAACAAATAATACCTGAAACCTCAAAAGAAGTTTTGGTTAGATTTACTTCTGGAAAATGGAATCCAACACAAGCAAAATATTCAACTATCAAGAAAGAGATGCTTTCTATTATAAAATTCATTTCAAAATTTCAAGATCATCTTCTTAATAAAAAATTTTAATTAAAAATTTATTGTAGCTCAGCTAAATCAATTATTGAAAAAGATGTTAAAAATCTTGTTGCTAAGCAAATTTTTGCTAGTTGGCAATCACAATTATCTATGTTTGAATTTGATATTCAACACACTAAAGGTGAAAATAATTCACTTGCTGATTATTTAACTCGTGAATTTTTGCAGGGAAAAAATGATGACCCCATATAGGGGTAGAGGCCGTAGTTATGGCCGTGGTGGGAGAGGGAGTAACAATATGTTACCCCAGCCAGAATCAAACATTCCTCTAATAGGGGATTTGACTACTGTCTACAAAGGTAGAAAAATGCAGCAATTACCTGCATCTTCAGCAAAAAGGGAAGATATTGCTTCATCTTCCTCTAATAAAACTACATCCTACAAGGAAGTTGCGGTTAATAACCCACCTCAAGAACAAATGGATTATTTTGAAAATCCAGTAACTGAGAAAATCATGTATATTGATGATGAAGATATAAAGATAAATCCAAATGATGGATGGTCTATCAAAACTAGATACCTCGAATCAAGAGGATATCCAGGTCTTCATGGAAAATCTAGGCCCAACCTAGAAATTCTCCTGACTGTTACCGAATCGGTAACAATTACTCACCATTACCAAAACAATAATCCTGAAAGTTTTATAAACTTCAGTAAATGTCACATTAACAAAATTTTGT